AGATTACAGAAAACCACAAGTTAAATCTCGCATCATGCAATCTCGATGGGATAACTTTACAATGGTATCAATGACTTTTCCAGAACAAACAGTTGGCAGATTGAAAATATTTTACTGAGAACGTGTTGATTCATTTTCATAAATGTCATCTCGTATCGCCAAAAGAAAGTTTGTCCAATCATCAGGAGTGGAAAAATATTACCGATTCTTCTGTGCTTCAAAATTATGAAGAGAAATCTGAACGCAAAAGAAAAATGTATGCGCACAAGGTGTTTGACGAAAAGTTGTCTCGTTACTTTCCCATATTATTTGTTGTGACGCAATCAGACACTCCAATTAAAACAGTTAGTGAAGTGGCTACAAATATTAAAATTATTACAGGTCAATTGTTCAATGAACATCCCCAAAGAGAACTGTCAAAGAGGAACATTAATGCAATTGATCTTGATCGTGGCTCTAATTAACAACACACTCATGAAATTGAGACCTTGGAAGGTACGATTTCTGCTAGCGAAATAATACCTTATGCAGAGTGTGGAAAATCTTATGGGGGAGAAGAACATGATGAAGGTAATTTACTGTTAAACATTGGTGCAACTACCTTTGTTGTTCATGTTCAAGGAATTGCATCAAATCTCACTTATGGGGGAGAAGAACATGATGAAGGTAATCAATTGTTGAACCTTGGTGCGACTACCTTCGTTGTTCATGTTTAGAAAATTGCATTAAATCTCTATGTATGGGATCTCAGAATTAGTAAAGAGTACCATATTCTAACAAGTTCTAATAAGATTGTAAAGGTACGTTCATTGTTTGAAGTAATTAAAAAAGAGGAAGAGTTGCTTACTTGTGAAGTTGGATGATTGGGAGCATGTAGACGGTGTTAAAATGAATGTTACGAGTAGTGGTAATGCGATAACTCCTCGTGCGACTTACAGGCTATTGTGGAACCTTATATTGAGGTTTACTCTTTATGGCCTTCATACTCACCTTGAACAACAATACATGATTTCTCAATTGAGATATGTTGGGTGTGGAATGACATGGTGCTACTCTAGATATGCTTATATAATTACAGTGATGTGTTGGCCGATGGGCATCCATTATTACAAAGATGAGTTCACTTGCTACATGTACAAGGAACGCAATAGTTTAATGATGCTTTGTTTTTGGGTGGCAATTCATAATTCAACCATAATAAAGTGGCATCAACATAGTAATAGTTTGACTTTATCTACTATTAATAAAGAAGGATAAAAGAGAAAGGTGGAAACAAATCTCTTAAAGCTTGAATATGGGCTGCAATATCTCAACTTAATAGAAGAGTCTAAGTTCGAAGATGAAAATGCCTATTATGTGATCATTACAGATAGGCTTGGTCGATCAAGTTTGGTGCAAATTATTTTAGGTGCAAATTCACATATATCAATATTGCTCTTATTGGTGGAAGATGATGATTCTCATTTCTATATTATCATGACTGAAAATAGGTGCGAAGAAGTTTCTAAGAACTGCTTACTTGCTATCAACAAAATTGAGCATATACTACTACAATTTATGCTTTAATCGAACCTTGAAAACTAGGTTCATTTTGAGGCGTGAAATATTATTGTGAACGCGGATGATCCCTAAACTATTGGGCCTAGGGTTAAACTACACATAGGCCTAAGAATTATACATTCCAATACTAAATTGGCTTGGGATCCAAGTAGAATAGAGTTTATATGGTTGACATCTGCGGTTTTGGAAAATTATGCGTATTATAAAGAAACTGTCTTTTCCTATCATCTTCTTTGTAGAGTCTTAACTTCTCATCCCCATTCTTATCTCTATCTTTAGCTACTTGTTATTTTAGTATTTCTCTTTGTAATTAAAGTGTTGCTATTATAATTTGGATATCCATGAATATAATGTTTATGTATCTGTATTGAAAATTCGGCTTTGTTTTATTGGTGCTTTCATCCAGAGGTCTTCAATGGAGGACCAAATATATCGAACAATCAAAGATTCAATTAAGGTCATGAAGGATACTTGGTCAAAGGATCTCACTGATATTCATTCAATGATACGTGAGTTGGTTGAAAACCTTACTACGACTCAACCGGGAACTGTGGAATTTCAATGATTTTATGGCGAGAATCCAGAGTTATGGATTTCTCAGGCTGAATGCTCCTTTAGGTTTTATGATATTACGGAAAATCACAAGTTAGATCTCGTGTGATGTTATCTCGACGGGACAACTTTACAGTGGTATCAATGGCTTTTCCAGAACAAACAATTGACGGATTGGAAACATTTTACTGAGAAAGTGTTGATTCGTTTTCATAAATGCCATCTCGAATCACTAAAAAAAAGCTTGTCCAATTTTCAGGAGTGGAGCAATATAATTGATTCATCTGTGCTCCAAAATTATGAGGAGAAATCTGAACACAAAAAAAAAAAATGGATGCACACAAGGTGTTTGATGAAAGTTGTCCGGTTACTTTCCCACATTATTTGCTGAGACGCAATCAGACACTCCAATTGAAATGGTTAGTGAAGAGGCTACAAATACTAAAAGTATTGTAGGTCAATTGTTCAATGAACATCCCCAAAGAGAACTGTGAGAGAGGTACGTCAATGCAATTGATCTTGATCGTGGGTCTAATGAACAACACATTCATGAAATTGGACCTCGGAAGGTGTGATTTCTGCTGTCGAAATAATACCTTATGCAGAGTGTGGCAAATCTTATGGGGGAGAAGAACACGTTAAAGGAAATTTATTGTTAAACGTTGGTGCGACTACCTTCGTTGTTCATGTTCAAGGAATTGCATCAAATCTCACTTATAGGGGAGAAGAATACGATGAAGGTAATCTACTATTGAACCTTGGTGCAACTACCTTCGTTGTTCATGTTTACAAAATTGCATTAAATCTGTATGTATTGTATCCCGGAATTAGTTCTGAGTTCCAGATTCTAACAAGTTCTAATAAGATTGTATAGGCACGTGCATTGTGTGAAGATATTAAAAAAAAAAGTTACTTACTTGTGAAGTTGTATTATTATGAGAATGTAGGTGGTGTTAAAATGAATGCTACAAGCAGTTTGTAATGTAATAACTCATCGTGCGACTTACAGGCTATTGTGGAACCTTATATTGAGGTTTTTTCTTTATGGCCTTTATACTCACCTTTAAGAACAATACATGATTTCTCAATTGAGATATGTTGGGTATGGAATGACATGGTGCTACTCTAGATATGATTATATAATTATTGTGATGTGTTAGTCGATGAGCTTCAGTTATTACAAAGATGACTTCACTTGCTACATGTACAAGGAATGCAATAATTTAATGATGCTTTGTTTCTGGGTGGTAATTCCTAATTCAACCATAATAAAGTGGCATCAACAAAGTAATAGTTTAGCTTTATCTATTATTAATAAAAAAGAATGGAAGAGAAACATGGAAACAAATCTCTTAAAGCTTGAACATGGGCTGCAGTATCTCAACTTAATAGAATAGTCTAAGTTTGAAGATGAAAATGCCTATTATGTGATCATTGCAGATAGACTTGGTAGATCAAGTTTGTTGCATATTCACATATATCAATATTGCTCTTATTGATGGAAGATGATGATTCTCATTGCTATATTATCATGACTGAAAATAGATGCGAAGAAGTCTCTGAGAATTGCTTACTTGCTATTAACAATATTGAGCAAATACTACTACAATTTATGTTTTACTCGAACCTTGAAGACAATGTTCTATTTGAGGCGTGGAGTATTATTGTGAACGCAGATAGTCCCTAAACTGTTGGGCATGGGGCTAAACTACGCAGAGGCCCAAGAATTAGACAGCCCATCACTAAATTGGCTTAGAATCCAGGTTGAATAGAGTTTATATGGTTGTCATCTGCGATTTTGTAAAATTATGCATATTAAGAAGAAACTATTTTTTCCTCTCATCTTCTTTCTAGAGTCTTAACTTCGCATCCTCATTCTAATCTCTATCTTTAGCTACTTGTTATTTTTGTATTTCTCTTTGTAATTCAAATGTTGTTATCATAATTTGGTTATCCATGAATATAATGTTTATGTATCTGTATTGAAAATTCGAGTTTGTTTCATTTATGCTTTCATCCAGGGGTCTTCAATGGAAGACCAAATATATCGAACAATCAAAGATTCAAGTAAAGTCATGAAGCATACTTGGTCAAAGAATCTTACCGATATTCATTCAATAATACGTGAGTTGGTTGGAAACCTTACTACGAGTAAATCGGGAACTGTGGAATTTCAACGATTTTGTGGCGAGAATCTAGAGTTATGGATTTCTCAGGTTGAACGCTACTTTATGTTTTATGAGATTACAGAAAACCATAAGTTAGATCTCACATCATGTTATCTTGACGGGACAGGTTTACAGTGGTATCAATAGCTTTTTCAGAACAAATAGTTGGTGGGTTTGAAACATTTTACTAAAAAAGTGTTGATTCGTTTTCATAAATACTATCTCAAATTACTAAAAGAAAATTTGTCCAATCTTCAAAGAGTAGAGCAATATAACCGATTCATTTGTGCTTCAAAACTATGAGTAGAAATATGAACATAAAAGAAAAATGGATACGCACAAGATGTTTGACGAAAAGTTGTCTAGTTAATTTCCCGCATTGTTTGCTGAGACGCAATCAGACACTCCACTTGAAATGGTTAGTGAAGGAGCTACAAATATTAAAAGTATTGCAGGCCAATTGTTCAATGAACATCCCCAAAGAGAACTATCATAGAGGTACGTTAATGCAATTGATCTTGATCGCGACTCTAATGAACAACACCCTCATGAAATTGAGACCTTGGTAGGTGCGATTTCTGCTGACGAAATAATATTTTATGCAGAGTGTGGCAAATCTTATAGGGGAGAAGAACATGATGAAGGTAATTTACTATTAAACGTTGGTGCGACTACCTTCGTTGTTCAAGTTCAAGCTCACTTATGGGGGAGAATAACACGATGAAGGTAATCTACTGTTGAACCTTGGTGCGACTACCTTCGTTGTTCATGTTCAGAAAATTCCATTAAATCTCAACGTATGGGATCTCGGAATAAATTGCAAGTTTTAGATTCTAACAAGTTCTAATAAGATTGTAAAGGCACGTACATAATTTTAAAAATTGCTTACTTGTGAAGTTGTATGATTGGGAGCATGAAGGCAGTGTTACAATGAATGTTACAAGCAATGGTAATGCGATAACTCCTCATGCGACTTACAGGCTATTGTGGAACCTTATATTGAGGTTTTCTCTTTATGGCCTTCATACTCACATTGAAGAATAATACATGATTTCTCAATTGAGATATGTTGGGTGTGGATTGACATGGTGTTAATCTAAATATGCTTATATAATTATTGTAATGTGTTGGCCGATGGGCATCCATTATTACAAAGATGAGTTCACTTGCTACATGTACAAGGAATGCAATAATTTAATGATGCTTTATTTCTCGGTGGCAATTCCTAATTCAACCATAATAAAGTGGCATCAACATAGTAATAGTTTGGCTTTATCTACTATAAATAAAGAAGGATGGAAGAGAAAGGTGGAAACAAATCTCTTAAAGCTTGAACATGGGATGTAGTATCTCAACTTAATAGAAGAGTCTAAGTTTGAAGATGAAAATGCATATTATGTGATCATTGCAGATAGGCTTGGTCGATCAAGTCTAGTGCAAATTATTTTAGGTGCAAATTCACATATATCAATATTGCTCATATTGGTGGAAGATGATGATTCTCATTGCTATATTATCATGACTGAAAATAGATGCGAAGAAGTTTCTGAGAATTGCTTACTTGCTACTAACAATATTGAGCAGATACTACTACAATTTATGCTTTACTCGAACCTTAAAGACAATGTTCTTTTTAAGGCGTGAAGTATTATTGTGAACACAGATGGTCCCCGAACTGTTCGGCCTAGGGATAAACTATGCAGAGTCCCAAGAATTAGACAATCCAATACTAAATTGACTTGGGATCCTAGTTGAATAGAGTTTATATGGTTGTCATCTGCAATTTTGTAAAATTATGCGTATTATGAAGAAATTGTTTTTTTCTCTCATCTTCTTTCTAGAGTATTAACTTCTCATCATCATTCTTATCTCTATCTTTAGCTACTTGTTATTTCAGTATTTCTCTTTGTAATTCAAGTGTTGTTATTATAATTTGGTTATCCACGAATATAATGTTTATGTATCTGTATTGAAAATTTGGGTTTGTTTCATTGGTGCTTTCATCCAGAGGTCTTCAACGGAGGACCAAATATATCGAACAATCAAAGATTCAATCAAGGTCATGAAGGATACTTGGTCAAAGGATCTCACTGATATTCATTCATTGATACGGGAGTTGGTTGGAAACCTTACTACGAGTAAATCGGGAACTGTGGAATTTCAACAATTTTGTGGGGAAAATTCAGAGCTATGGATTTATCCGGTTGAACGCTACTTTAGGTTTTATGAGATTATAGAAAACAACAAGTTAGATCTCGCTCCATGCTATCTCGACGACATAACTTTGCAGTGGTATCATTGGCTTTTTCAGAACAAACAGTTGGCGGATTGGAAATATTTTACTGAGAAAGTGTTGATTCATTTACATAAATGCTACCTCGAATAGCCAAAAGAAAACTTGTCCAATCTTTAGGAGTGGAGAAATATAATTGATTCATCTGTGCTTCAAAACTATGAGGAGAAATCTGAACGCAAAAGAAAAATGGTTGTGCACAAGGTGTTTGACCGAAAGTTCTCTGGTTACTTTCCCACATTTTTTGCTGAGACACAATCAGACACTCCAATTGAAATGGATAGTGAAGCGGTTACAAATATTAAAAGTATTGCAGGCCAATTGTTCAATGAACATCCCTAAAGAGAACTGTCAGAGAGGTACGTTAATGCAATCGATCTTGATCGTGGCTCTAATGATCAACACACTCATGAAATTGAGACCTTGGAAGGTGCGATTTTTGCTGACGAAATAATATCATGTGCAGAGTGTGGCAAATCTTATGGGGGAGAAGAACATGATGAAGGTAATTTACTGTTAAACGTTGGTGCGACTACCTTCGTTTTTCATATTCAAGGAATTGCATCAAATCTCACTTATGGGAGAGAAGAACACGATGAAGGTAATCTATTGTTGAACCTTAGTGCGACTACCTTCGTTGTTCATGTTCAGAAAATAGCATTGAATCTCTATGTATGGGATCCCAGAATTAGTTCCGAGTTCCAGATTCTAACAAGTTCTAATAAGATTGTAAAGGCACGTGCATTGTTTGAAGAAATTTAAAAAAAAAAGTTGCTTACTTGTGAAGTTGTTTGATTGAGAGCATGTAGGCGGTGTTAAAATGAATGTTACAAGCAGTGGTAATGCGATAACTCCTCGTGCGACTTACAGGCTATTGTGGAACCTTATATTGAACTTTTCTCTTTATGGCCTTCATACTCACCTTGAAGAACAATACATGATTTCTCAATTGAGATATGTTGGGTGTGGAATGACATGGTGCTACTCTAGATATGCTTATATAATTACTGTGATGTGTTGGCCGATGGGCATCCATTATTATCACTTGCTACATGTACAAGGAATGCAATAATTTAATGATGCTTTGTTTCTGGGTGGCAATTTCTAATTCAACCATAATAAAGTGGCATCAATATAGTAATAGTTTGGCTTTATCTACTATTAATAAGAAGGATGGAAGAGAAAGGTGGAAACAAATCTCTTAAAGCTTGAAAATGGGCTTCAGTATCTCAACTTAATAGAAGAGTCTAAGTTTAAAGATGAAAATGCCTATTATGTGATCATTGCAGATAGGCTTGGTCTATCAAGTTTGGTGCAAATTATTTAAGGTGCAAATTCACATATATCAATATTTATTGGTGGAAGATGATGATTCTCGTTGCTGTATTATCATGACTTAAAATAGATGCGAAGAAGTTTCTAAGAATTGCTTACTTGCTATTAACAATATTGAGCAGATACTACTACAATTTATGCTTTATTCAAACCTTGAGGACAAGGTTCTTTTTGAGGCGTGGAGTATTGTTGTGAATGCGGATGGTCCCCGAACTGTTGGGCTTGAGGCTAAACTACGGATAGGCTCAAGAATTAGATAGCCCAATACTAAATTTGTTTGGGATCCAGGTTGAACAGAGTTTATATGGTTGTCATCTGCGATTTTGAAAAATTATGCGTATTATGAAGAAACAGTCTTTTCATCTCATCTTCTTTCTAGAGTCTTAACTTCTCATCCTAATTCTTATCTCTATCTTTAGCTACTTGTCATTTCAGTATTTCTCTTTGTAATTCAAGTGTTGTTATTATAATTTGGTTATCAATGAATATAATGTTTATGTATCTGTATTGAAAATTCGGGTTTGTTTCACTATCCTATGATAGCTAACCCCAGAATAACTAATCATGGGATAACTTTTTCCCAACCAAACGACAAGTATGATATTCACCTTTCTTTCTTATAAATACTTTTTTTACACTATCATTGGTAATTCAAATTGCTTAAAGATCATTCCTATTATACATAACTACGTAGTCAAGTTTTTAAAAAACAATTTTTCTATCTTCATAAGTTAGTGTTAAGGTTCGTGTACATTGTATCCTTTCTAGATTTCACTAAATATGTTGTAGTTGTTGTTTGTTTGTTGTAGTACTAAATTACTTGATTGATATGGCAAAATAAATATGCAGGTTCAGTAAGGCTGATCAATGTTTCATGACACGATATGGAAGTAACTAGCTAGCTAGAATATCATGAGGAGAAAAATAAAGATGGGGTGGAGTTAGTTTGATCCTATTTTAGAAAATATATTTGTCTATATATATGCTTTTCTTTTTTAATTCATTTTAGAAAATATCTCTTTCTCTGTTATAATAGAAATTTTTTTTGATACATTTAACGAAATCACAAAATTGAAGAAATTACTTTATTTTTTGGAAAAAAGGGTAAAAATAATTTCCTTAAACTACGTGAAATAAACAAAAATGTTGTCCATTTATAGTTTGATTAAAAAATATCCGTGTTGTCAATGTTTTGGTTCAAAAATGTCTTTGCAGTCAATACTTTGGTCCAGAAATGCCCTTATAGTTGCTAAATTGATCAAAAAATGCCCTTTTCTAAATAAATGTATTATTTTTTTTCCTTTTTAAACACATCTGCTTCTTAACTAAATTATTATTAAAGAACTCTATTCTTGTTTTCTTTTTTTTTTAAAATCACTTTAACAAATAAAAATATAGGAAATAATTGTTTTTCTTAATCTTGTTTTATCAATTAAAATAGAACAACTTCATGTACGTTTTCGAGGAATAATATATGTCATATATATAAAATCATAGTATTATCTATCATTAATTTTTTTTATAATACGATAAAAATAATTATAATAAAATAAGAAATATTTTTATTTTTTTATTTTTTTTGAATTTGAAGTTGGATAAACATTTGCTATTTTAAAAAATATATATTATTAGAAAAATAATATATATATATATATATATATATATATATATATATATATATATATTTAGAAAATAAGCATTTTTGTCATCAAATAATAATAAAGCATTTTTTAACCAAAATATTGACGGCAAATACATTTTTGAGCCAAACCACAAACAAAGTATATTTTTATTCATTTCACATAGTTTATGGGCATTTTTTTTTATCCTTTCTTCCTTTTTTTTTTTAAAAAAAAAACCTTGATATGAAATAAATAAAAAGAAAGGTATCTGGAATCATAATCATAATAACTCAGCACATTCTTTTTGTATCTGGAATGTTCCCTTTCTTGGAGATGTTACTAGCTAGTTTTCTCCAGATAACCTAAGTTATATATATTCCCATCAAACGGTAATCCTAAAAGGCACCCAGACTCTGTTTTTTGTTTGATAATCTGCGACGATGTGCTTTGTGTTGGTTTGCGATGAAGATGAAAGAAAGGGTTTTAACTTTTACGAAGAGAGAGAGCAAAAGGTGTTTGTCCTTATTGTGGAGACTCTGTTTTGTTCCCATTTCATTCAAAACTATTTACTGTAATAGGCGTTTACTACTTCAGTAATCTCTCTCTATATAATTAGATTTTATTATCAATAGTTATTTCAAGGCTAGCTTCCCTTAAATCTATAATACTCTTTATCTTATTTCATACTTTGTCAATTAAGTGTGAATGATATACACTTATCTTTTAGGGGATTATCGATAGTGTGTTTCATTCATAGACACACTTTGGACTTAGGCTAATTGAAACAAAGATGTAAAAATGAATAATTATGACAAGTTTAAGGGGGAGGGTCGGTCGTTGTGTGTTTAGCCTAGTACATAATTAGAATTGATGTAAAAGAGTTAAAAATATGTATTGTTGATGTGACATAAGAATGTCGACTGTTTTGACTAGAAATAATGAGCCAACCAAGATGAAGTCTCATCAATAAACGAGTCCGTTGAGACCTATTCTGTAAACATGACTTGCTTGTCATTTGGTTTTCAAAAGAAGGTAACGGTCAATGCATTCCTATACTACACTACGAAAAGTATATGTATGGTTATAATATATATGGAAGCTTCCAAAATGTCTCTTTCTAACCTTTACTTCTCTCTATTTTCTTATTTTTCTAGCTAACGTGTGTAACTTGTAAGGTACTTTCCATGAAATGAATATGGTCAACTCATCTCAATTTTCACATTTATTTATTTACATCTTGTTCGTTATCGTACTATTGTGTTGTATTATTAATTTAAATATAATGTTTGTTTTGATTGTTACTTAAATTTTATTATATAATATCGTTTACGAAAACACTTATTTTATGTAACGGTTGATTTGGTGTGACTGCGTCGTTACTTGAATATTTTTTCTCGGTCTTTATTTATTATTTGATAATTATATTTCACCCTACCTTTTCATATTAGATCTACTCGTACTCTACTTTTTTTTAAGATTTATCATTCAAATTATGGACTTGTGATATTATGTAACGATGGAAAACGATACAATCTATTCAAATATTGTATTCATTAGAACAATACAATTACAATATAACATAATACAATACGATACATTATGAAATACGTAACAACCATCCAAACAAAAAGTGTTATTGAAATTTGAAACATTCAACGCAGTCACTATTTATTAGGTCCATATGGGGTAAATATGCTCACAAATTAACCACGTACATTTAATTACAAGGCCATTGCGACAAATTCTTCTGAGCTGGTATTGATAGGGGAAATTAATCTCCGACTTCCCTTATGAAATACCACGTACTGCATCAACTACCTTATGACAACGGGCCTATTTTCAGCTGTGTTAGCATATTTTATACACGCAATTGAACAAAAACAACACTTCTGTTAAATTTTTAACTGCTTAATATATGTTTATATGTCATAAGGATTGAATTACATCTTACCAATTATCATGTAAATTCACTACTATTAATTTTTATGTGTTGTGCAAACTTAAAGAGGGGAAAATGTTTTTTTACATGTTAAATAAATCATCGTTTTTTAAGACTCTGGATACTACTGATCGTACAATTTTTTTCCAAGGGTATTAACTAAAGTTAATATTTAAACAGTTTAATATTGAAGATTCAACTTTGATGATCGGTTACAAACTTACAAACATCGCTACCACAAAATGATCTAAAAATCCTGAATGATGTTATGTTTTGTAATTTAATAGTACAAGTTCACACAATAGATAATTTTCCATATCAAATGTAGACTTTATTAATTTAAAAAATAGAGAAGAATCTACTTTAAAAATTATTTTACGTGTATTCTCATGTGATGATGATTGATGAATTCACCAAAGCCGCACTTTCGGACCCCTAAGCATTAACGCGTCCCAAGTCTTCAACAAAGAAAATTTGGCATTCCTCAACTCTATACTTTTGTGAAATACTAGTACTTATTTTTTAGTCCATTTTAAAAATCTTTTTTTTTCTTTTTTAATAAATTTATTCATTTAACTTTTTATTTCATATATTTAAAATCACAAAATTAAAAAATATTTTAATATACTTTATGTATTTTTATTTTTATTTTAAAACTCCGTACCAAGTTGTATTGAAATAGGAGTATGCAAATCAAAGTTTTCGAGTTCGAATCCTTCTTAATAAGGAATTGGCTTTTGTTAGGGAGCGTTTTATTCTAATATGAAACTTTTTTATGTGAATTTGAATTTAATCGAGAAAAGAAAAAAGGGGTATGCAAAAGCAAGATAGGAACATAAGACTCATTAAGGCAGGTGGAGACTCCCAAATACTGAAAATTTTTGTTTATTCAAACACGAGACAACAAACATGAAAGTCAAAGTAAGGAAGCTTCATAACCTACAATAGTCCATCTTAATGCTTCAATTTACTTGAATTTTAGTGCCACTTTCACATCTATCTAAGCCCTTACAAACTCCTATATATACAAAAAAATATCTTGGTCCAAAATAGAAACATTCATACAATATTTTCTTCTCTTTATTCTTGTAACAACATTTTCCCTTATGGCTGATCAGCAAAAAAATCCATCCGGTTTCGGTTCCGGAGCCGGCGCAGGTAGCCCCGCTACCCAAGCCCACAGCTCCGTTGGTGCCACGTGGATCTTCCCGTTCAGAGAACGGGGATCCTGAACGTCAGCAACCAGCACCACCATTGAAAAGATCGTTAACCCCATATTCACCCTTAAAACCACCAAAAAAGAAAAGAGGCTGCTGCGTAAGATGCCTTTGTTGGTCATGTTGCCTATTTTTCCTACTAATCGTACTTATAGGCATCGCAGCAGCCGTAGTTTACCTAGTCTTCCAACCAAAATTACCAAAATACTCCGTCGATAGCATGAGAATTACCCAATTTAACCTCAACACCGACACGAGCTTGTCTGCGACATTTAACGTGAACATAACAGCAAGAAATCCCAACAAACGAATCGGAATTTACTACGAAAACGGAAGCCATTTGAGTGTATGGTACAAAGGCACAAATTTATGCGAAGGGAAATTACCTAAGTTTTATCAAGGTCATAGAAATACTACGCAACTCAACGTTCACTTAACAGGACAAACACAGAATGCTACAAATTTGTTACAATTACTGAGTAATGATCAACAGCAAGGCCAAATTCCATTAAATATTCGAGTTAAGGTTCCTGTGAGGATTAAATTGGGGAAATTGAAGCTAATGAAATGGAAATTCTTGTTGAAGTGCAGCCTAAACGTGGATAATTTATCTCAGGATAATGTTATTCGGATTAGGGATAATAAGTGTAAGGTTCGTTTTAGGTTTTAATTGGTACATTATATTATTTTTCTTGATTACTATAATCCACCACTATTTTATTTTTTGTCTACAACAATAAGGTGGAGGATTGTGTATAGATTGTATTAATTTTTTTTCCTGTTGAGCTTGTTACAATAATGGGATGCCTCTATGCATCATTCTGTTCATACTATTTTGTATTTATAAATTGAGTTATTCCAGTTTGATTTATCTTCACTACTCTCTGTGTCATTTTCTATATTTAATTATTTCAATATTTAGTTAAATTATAGTAACACATAAAATATATAGTTGAATAAGCATCATCATCAATTGATTGTTAGCACTTAGAAGGGGGGTTGATAGTTTGGTTTGAATTGAGATTTGTTTAAAATTAAAGTCAAACAATATAGTGAATTTATTGAATTATTAAAACTGAATCAGAGCAAATATTATTGATTTTAAGAAATATAAAGCCAAATCAATCAAATTTAAAAAAAAAATTGATTTTTATTTGAATATATCTTTTATCGATTTGAACACCCTAACGAAAGCTTAAAACCTTTTGTGTTCCCTCTGTTCCTTGAGTACAACGAGCACTAATAATTATTATAATGAAAACCAATAGTAAATGCAACTTTATTTTTTACATTGTCTAAATGATTTTTGGTAAAAAGACAAGGGCGGTTACGTTTCAAATAGAGAAATTTTCAATAAAAAATACTTATTTTATAGGAAATTTAATCGACATAAGTTTGAATAATCCTACGAAAAAAAATGCAACTTCATTTGTACATTGTCTAACTTTCTTTTAGTGAAAAACAGGGTGTATTAACATGTATATATGATGTGTAAATAATAGTTGTATAGTGTATATATATATATATATAATGTACTGATATGGTATATATATATATCACTTGTGGGAATTAAGAGCTGATTGGTCTTTTAACTTTGCTTCAATTCTATAAGGTTGTTAATGTTACATAAGTCATTTCCATGCACTTTAGTCTTATTTACTTTGCTGACTAAAGACGGTAATTGCATGAGTTGAGATTTTTACATACTTTCTGAAAAAGTTGACTTAAAAGATATTATTTTATTGAATGTGAATATTTTTCACCCAAGCACGAAGCTTGTGGAGAAGTTTGGACTATAGAAAAAAAAAATGATATTGCGTAATTATCCCTAAATCTTACCTAACATGAGTTCGAACTAACCTCATCAAAAAAAAATTAAGTCAAGTTGAATTGCTCTAGTGCTTAAGTACCTGAAAAACTTCATGGATCTGAGCTTAATCCTTCAAACTGCTCTACTTTTGTGCCTTTTGAACTGAATAAAACAGGCCCATCACAAATTGCGCCTGCTCCTTGGTGGACCATACAAAAGGGTCATTTTCTGGATTTGGTCTTTAATTTTATTTTATTTTTATTTTTAAAAAATATCCAAGGCAAACAAAATTTGCAAGGTAATAGAAAATGTTTTTCTATAGGTATAACTTGTACCTTGTTTAACTAAAGGGAAAATCACACAATAAAGGTTTATATGTGATATGTATTTATGATAAAGATAATTACAATTTGTAGCTATTTATATGGTTTTATAGCAAGTATTCTCTCTCTCTTTCTCACACCGCTCTCTCTCTCTCCACCCCAAATAACTGCAACCCAAAAAACCATTCTACATAATATGACAATTGTATTTTGTATTATGTATCAATTGTATTTGTATTATACGTCAATTGTATTTGTGAAAAACTTGATACAACTAATACAATATGCATTCATCTTTTTTGTCAAATATATTATGTATCAATTGCATTCAATCAAATATAAGTGAGAGATTTGTATTTTATAGCAATTGTATACATACTATATTTATATTTTGTATTAATTGTATTTGTATTCGGTAATAATTGTATCCGTGATACAATGAATACAACATGTATTAATTCATCCTCTTTCGATCTTGCTTGCCTCTTTCCTCCCTCTCTCGATTTTGCTCGGCTCTCTCCTTCTAATATGTAGCTAAATACAATAGTTTTGGATACAATGGTATTCATTTTGATACAAATCAGTTGTATCAATTGTTTTTGTGATATAACCTGATATAACGAATACAACATGTAATTAACGTCTCTCGCTTCTCTCCTCCCTCTCCTAGTCTCACTTGCATCTCTCCTCCCCCAAATGTATAATTTTAATTTATAATTAAGTAAACTATAATTATAGATCTCTAACTAAACCAAATTATAGTCATTTCTGAAAGTTTACCTTACAACTTATGCTTAGGACAAAGTTTTCTAAAAGGTTTGCTAATTGCTATGCAAATTAGATAAGCTGAATTAATGTCTATAAAATGTCCTCTTAGAAAGCTACTCTTACAAAATTAGATTTTAACTTATATAATTTTCTTAATAAAATATGCTGTAAGAGCAGAAACTAAAATCAATTTAAGAGGTAAAATTGAAGAGCATCCAAAATAGAGAAAAAAAAATGTTATTTCAGCTGTCCCTTCTTTTTGTCAAATCCACTCCTTGAGATTCATGATTTTTTATTCCTTTGGTTTTTTGTTCATTCATTCTGGGAAACTATAAAGACACGAAAGTTGAATTATTATTTGTTAGTAGTAATAATAAAAAAGAGAGAAAGGAAGAAGAAAAATGGCGTGGTCTCCATTTTCTTCTTCCTCCACTCCTCTCTGCTCTTCACTCACTAGAAATCCAACGAATTCCCTTTGCAAAACCTCTTCTTTATTCCATCATCACTCAGTTAACCACACAAGGGATGAATTTCTACAATACCCAAATACAATTTCGTTCAACAATCTTCATTTCCGCACCAAAAAGTTTACTGTTTGCTCAAAAACTGAATCCGGGGTTGAACAGAAACCACCATCATCATCATCAGAACTTGACTGTGTAGGAACTGGGCTTGACGTGGAGTGTGTAGTGAACCCTTCTGAGGAATTCCCCAAAGACTCTAATTTACGGTTTCAAGATGAAAGGGTGTCGTCCATGGAGTTGCTCCAGACGATTTTGGAATGGGGTTTGCTAATTTCGCCTTTCTTCTTCTGGGGTACAGCTATGGTTGCAATGAAGGAGGTTTTGCCAAAGACTGGACCTTTTTTCGTTTCATCATTTAGGTTGATTCCAGCTGGGTTAATGTTGGTAGGTTTTGCTGCTTCAAGGGGTAGGAATTACCCTTCTGGATTCAATGCTTGGCTCTCTATTACACTCTTCGCTATAGTTGATGCTACTTGTTTTCAGGTATCTTTCTTGCACTATCTGATCAATACCCGTTTTAGCTAAGATAGGTGAGTTAGTATTGGACTTGTTTGTGATTGTATCCTAGATAAATAATTGATTGACTTACGTGGTTACAGAATAAGCTTGACTGCAAACACTATGTAAAACTCAAGAGCAGTGTACAAACGACTAGCACTACAATGAAATCTGATAAAGAGGGGAATATGTAATTTTAAGAAAATGAGAGTTGCTTTCTCTGTTGGTTTGATTTACTATTATAGATTCAGACTGTCGGCTCCTGATTGCTACTTTGTCACCTATGTTTGTTGGCTTAAGCTTCCTGTTAAGTACACAATTCTTTTCATTTGGGCCGACATTCTTTCTCATGGGATTTATATGGTGGACAGGGATTTCTTGCAGAAGGACTTCAGAGGACATCTGCTGGCTTAGGCAGTGTAAGATGAATTTTACTTTGTCATTTCAATTTGTTGTAGTATGCAGTGTTGGTTGTGAGATTTTAATCAATATTATGAAGAAGAAACATCATGTCCTAAGAAGTTGGAAGTGCTTGTGCTGTACAAAGTGTAACTTGCATTTAGCTCCGTAGCATGTAGATCTGATATTGTATACCTTTGGTACTGTATAGAATTCCGAAGCTCCAGCATTCAACCTTTTAAATGGGACTTTTCTTACTGATGGGTTCAATAAATGATATAGCTGATCTATCCAAATCTGCATTGAGTTTCCGTGAACATCGCTCACCACGGTTTTTTTTTTTTGTAACATCTGATTGATATTTCTAAATTCAATAAATACCTAATTATTGACTCTTAGCTTTAGTGGTATAAGTAACGAAGTAGTGTCTAGTGACATGGAGTCTAGAGTGAGTGAAGGATCAATTAGCAATTCTCTTAAAACTAATTGATGCAGCTAAAAGAAAAGGAAGTAATTGATGATATTCAAATGATTAGGGGACCTAATTTTAACAAGATTTTATTGTGATTTCAGGTGATAATAGATTCACAGCCTCTGACGGTGGCTGTGCTTGCAGCTTTGTTATTTGGTGAGTCCATAGGTTCTGTCGGAGCTGCAGGTCTTGTGCTCGGGGTGATAGGCCTTTTACTCCTTGAGGTAATATTATCAGGAAATAACCAATTTTTGTACTTATTTTTTAGGTTAGCCTTGTCCTCCCTCTGGAGACCATGGATGATGATTAACAGGATCCTTATCGGTCCATCTTTGGCATGTGTTTGTGCTCTAAATAAGTCAAAAGTAGTGGTGAAGAATATGATACCACTGACAAATTTTAGGTATCAGAAATTAAAAAATTTAAGCAGAGATTTTACCAAATTTATGTCTGTTGGAATTCATGGTAAACAGGAGACTAGGTAGACGAACATCTATTCGGTTGAGGTTATAGATGAAGGATAAGATGAGAGTATGTGAAAGCCATTTGGTTAGAGAATAAAATTTAACTCATAGCATGTTAACCCCTTACAAATGGTAGAAAGGAAGAAGTAATCTGATTTCTTTCCCACCAGTCATACCAATCAATCAACATGAGGGACTGTTGAACTTCAAGTGGTGTCCACACTCAGATTTTGCAGATGCTCAATTTTGTTTGGATATGTTATCATCCAAGACACACAGTGATGGTGAATTGTTGATTGTAGACATCGATAGTAGAGTTTGTGTTGTGCTTTGTGCATGTACTGCTGGGAACCATGGAGCTTATCAGATTTTGAATCCAATCTCCTAGGAATTGAAGGTTCTCAGGCGCACTAAAATGTTACATAAGTCTAACTAGACCAGTGCATTAAGTGGGTTAAGACGACTTGTATTTTCTGTTTGATTTATTAAGTTCTCAACCTATCGAGACAACACAAATATAAAAACACACATTTTAGCACAACTTTTTCAAAAGGGGATACCCCTTCAAAGTTTTCATTGCAGATAAGATACATGCTTCTCAATTTGCAGAAAATAGATTTGAATAGCATACTTTACCATTGTTTCACATATTTTTTATTTTGATGCTGCAAAAGATATAAAGAGTATAATTATAGCTTTTCTCCAACAGTTTGTGGTACTGTCTCAATTTCAACCTTATCAACATGGTTTTACATTTTCATATGTTCAAGTTCAACCCAATGTCGTCAAAGGCAAGGGTGTTGCAGCGAGACACAAAACATGTTGAGCACTTCGTTTAGGGGGCACTTCAGTATTGTCATCGAGACTCTAAAACATACTTCTTTGACAAAGAGACTCTACAACATACTTTACCTTGTCAATGAGTGTAATCCTAAAGAGGTGATGCTCAACAAATGATATTTCATTTTATTTGCGCTTTGCACTTAAAGCTTCAAGGACCTTAGAGCTTTTTTGCGCTTTTCGCCTTTGACAACACTGGTTCAACCGCTTAATGGCTTTATAGATACACAAAATAATTAAAGCAACAACAATCATTTCATAAATTTCATCAATCATGATAACAAAGCAAGGCATATTTCAATATTATTTTTAGAAAGAAAAGTAAATTTTGTTTCAAATACTTATAATAATCTTATGTGAAGAAGATGCAAACTTACTAGCCAATCAATGATGTAAGAGAACCAATAATGACTAACAATAAATTTTAAATACATTTTGAAGTAATTATAAATCAATTAATTAGTAAAATCAAAAGCGAGCAATCGCATATGACATCGTTTTGATTAACGAGACATGCAGTGGAGTTAACGATAGGCTGAAAAATTTGGAGACATACCCTAGAGTCTAATGGTTTCAAGTTATGCAAGACATATAGTACTTGGAGTAAAAGTTCAATGACCTAACGCATGAGCCAGATGATGCACAAGTCATACCCAAGAGTGGAAGCTTCAAGTTTATTGGTCCATAATCCAAGGAGAAAGAGATATTGATGATGATATCGCATATTGTATTGGAGTGGGGTGGGTGAAATGAAGGCTTGCATTTGGGGTATTGTGCGATAAGAATGTAATGAAGGCTTATATTCGGGGTACTGTGCGATAAGAATGTATCGCCAAGACTTAAGGGAAGTTTTACAAAATGGTTGTTAGACCAATATTGTTGTATAAAGGCAGAGTATTGGCCAGTCAAGAACGCCTACGTTCAAAAGATGAAAGTAGCGCAGATGAAAATGCTTAGGTGAATGTGTTTTCATACTAGGAGAGATATGATTAAGAACAAAATTATATGAGGCGAGGTAGGAGGGACCTCAAAGGCAGACAAGATGAGGGAAACGAGGTTGAGATTGTTCAGGCATGTGAAGAGAAGACAACAAGGAGAAATTAGAGGTTAGCTATAGTAGGAGTAGGGGAGTTAGTGGCTGGCCGAAAAAGAATGAGATGGGGGGGGGGGTGGGGGGAGGGGTATGGAGGTCGAGGATTAGGGTATAAAGTTAGTAGGTACCTCAGTCTTGCCGCACTTTAGGTGGGAGAGGTAGGGGGCTAGCCTTATCTTCTCTCCACTTTATTAGTAGTAATATTTGATAGTCATGTAATTTCTTATTCTTCAATGTGTTTTACTATCTGTTAGTTTCAGTTGCTTTGTATATTGATATTTTGTTGTCATATTTTTCTTGCAACCCTACTTCGAATAACTTCTCTTAGTCTTTCAAGCCGAGGGTGTATCAGAAACAGAAACAGTGTCAGTCTGCATACATCTTACCTTTTCCAAACCCCACCTATAGGATTACATTGGATATGTTGTCATTGTTATTGCTTATATCAATATACAACAACATATATATACAGGATTGAAAATGTTAACTAACTTTGCAAAAGCATATTAACCTAAAGTGATAACAATTCCGCAAGTATAGTAAGATCGTGAACTGCTAAATTTAACCTTTGGATGAACTTTAAAAAAATAAAAGAAAAAAAAACTAACCTTTAGAAGAAGGATTGGAGGAGAAAGCTCTGCTATGTCATTGTCACATAACACAACGAAGTGAAGCAACGCCAACTAGAAGTACTCTAGAGGAAGAAAAATAATATAGGTTATCAATCAGAAGGAAAAAAAGGAAAAAGGAAGAGGGTCATTGAATACTCCTGTAGGCCCGTAGCAAAGTGAAAAAGGATCACAAAACTCTGTTCTAGATGGGGAGTCAATCTTGAGCGGCAAGTGCATGAATGCCTTGAGAGGTGGTGGCTAAACCAGTGCACCCATTGCTGCTAATGGCGGGTGCCACCTTCACATAGATAGATATTTTCTCAAGAATTTGTGTGTGTGTGTGTATACATGTGTATATATATATATATATATATATATACGCATGCATATTTTCAACCAAAACCTACGAGTGCCTAGGTCCCCTCACATGTTAACACGGGTCCTGTCTCAGTCTCTATATGTATAACTGATAAGCTATATGTTCATTTTTATGCATGTTGACATAGCTTTTGCAGTGTTCAGTTCATTTTTCATGTGCATACACTTATGTCCACGTAAAATCCATTCTCCCTTAAAAGAGTATGAAGATGATTTTTAATGTGTTTGCAACAATATTTCCTTTCATTATTTCTGTGTATACTAGCTTTTAACCTGTTGAAAGTAGTACAATCCTTAACTGGAGATTTTTTTTTTTCAATTAGTCTGCTAGCCCCACCCAAAACAAAACAAAAAGAAAGGAGAGAATCTTCATATTTAATGTAGGAGAACCCTTTGATGGTCATAATCTTGCTCCATCCATTTCATTTTATATGGCGTTGTTTGAGTGGGCACGAGGTTTAAGACAGAAAGAAAGACTTTTGGCTTATAGCCGTAGTACCCTTAGAAGTTTTAAACATTGCCATGCCATTTCATTTGTTACAAGGCATGTCAATTGAAGTAAAAATAGGATATTTAATCTGAAGTTTCCAAATGGAGGTGTTATCTTTTTTTTAGAAACTAACAGGGGAGCGTGCCATATAAAATGCAATAGGGGGAGTGTTACCCTTCTGTCATTAACTAATACTACTTTGAAATAACTGAGTTAATTGTACAGGTACCTGCTCTCTCTTTTGATAATAGCAACTTTACACTCTGGGGAAGTGGAGAGTGGTGGATGTTTCTTGCAGCACAAAGCATGGCTGTCGGCACAGTAATGGTCCGTTGGGTTTCTAAATACTCAGACCCAGTCATGGCTACTGGATGGGTAAGTCATATTACTTTACTGCTGAGTTGAAATTCATTTTATCATATATCAGGTTTGAAACAGAGAGTAACTAAGAACTAGTGGTTGTGTCATCAAACCTTACTTAGCTATAAAATTGGTCTTCGTTCCATTTGTTCCCAATTACAGCTGGTTGACTTTATAGATTAAAAACAGAAATTAGCAACGGGCTTGGTTATGTATTATTTGAGTTCCAACGTTGAAATCAATGATAGCATGACTGGAAACAAAGTATGCTAAGTACATGGTTCCACAGAATAGTAGTACACTATAATTTTGATGTTCAAACTGCAGTGCTAACTTCAGATACCTCAACAATTTACAGCACATGGTTATTGGGGGACTTCCTCTGGTGGCTATCTCAATTCTCAATCATGAACCTGTCATTAGTGGGAGTTTGATGGAACTAACATCAAATGACTTGTTGGCTTTGCTGTATACCTCAATCTTTGGAAGTGCCATAAGCTATGGTGTATACTTCTACAATGCAACAAGAGGTTAGATTCAGGTCCCCTGATTGTCAACTTTGCATTATGCCTTACTTTTTTCAGTTACAACCAATATTGACTAGACTAACCATTGCAGGTAGCCTGACAAAGCTCAGCTCCCTTACCTTTTTAACTCCAATGTTTGCATCGATTTTCGGGTAAGATTCCTATCAAAAGATTAATTTCTGAATAAGATGATGAAAGTTATTTTAATCACAATCAATAAGTTGGTCATCACTTGCAACTGCTACTAAGAAAAAAATATTTAGGACTATTGTTCGAAGCGGAATATGTTTGATTTGGTTTCTATCTTCACTTTTTGTTCTCCACATTCTTGCCTTTTGAATCTGCCTAAGTTATTCAACTCCAATACAGGTTCCTATATCTAGATGAGACCTTCACACCCGTGCAACTAATTGGAGCATTTGTCACAGTGGCTGCAATTTACATGGTTAATTACAAAAGCAATACAAAATAATATGGCTGGCAATCAACTGATCCCCTCCTTGTGTCTGGATAGAGAAGAAGGCTCAGCAGCTTTCTACTCCATTTGCAGAAGCGACATACACTGTATAGAAAATATTTCAAGATTATATTAAGGCCCTACAAGAGTACACACACCGGTTAATATGCAGGCTGGAACTTGCTTGGAGGTGGATTTCTGTCCAGCCATGTACCATAAATCTTGAAGCATGAGATTCAAGATGGTGTATTATCACATTAGGTGTAGAGAAACTTTTCTCGGATACAATGACCAGGAATAATAACATTGTAAATGTTAGATTTGTGTAGAGAATTTTCATGCTACCACAGCATCAGGTTTAACATATGTATCTATCTATGCCTATTCTAATATCTCTGTACCAAGTTTGAAATATGTATAAATGCAAAATTCCATAATTAGCCACCATATGTCTGTCAGAAAACTTAAAAGATTATTTGCAACACAGCTACTTAACTAAAAGATTCTGTAAACACTGATATGAAAAGGTTGCTTAGTGGGCAACCAAAACAGCAGCATATCAATTGTCGAACAAACTGCATATATTTAATTAGTTAAAGCAGCTGTTGCTGCCACAGGTGTTATGTGAAGTCCTCTAGGTTCACTGCTGTTGTGAACTATTCCATGTTGCTGGTTGTCAGAATCACTCTTATTTGCAGTCATTCTACTTTTACCTTCATCCATATCAGGAACATGATCAGATACTGTACACTTTTGAAAGGCTAATGGATTCATATACAGCCTACTGTAAGATTTTGGAGTCCAGGAATCGGTTGAATCAGCTGAATTTGGTTCTTGTGAGGATGAGGAAAACCTACATCGTTGATAACAAACAAAACTATTGCTTTCTGAGGATTCTAGTTCTTCCATAGAACCTCCATCAGTTCCCCTTCCAAAGGTTGCATACTTCTGTATTCTGGAAGGCTCCATTGAGTCATCACTAAAGGCAACCTCAGACTCTGCATATGGGTTCTTTATTCCTAACCTGTTTTTACTCTGAGGATTGGTTGCCAAACAAGCACTGGTATTCTTGTTAATACGCTCGACTGTGCGGTTGCTTCTTCTGTCTTCAGAGAAAGCACTGGATAGATTGGAACTAGTAGTTGAGTTGAAGTCAGGAACTGCACCAGATGGAAGTGAAAATGAAGGGTTTCTGCTCTTTTGATGAAAGTTTTGGATGTCCTCAAGCAATAACTCAGTATATGATTGAGTAGGATTTGACTGAACCCTATGATTAATTTCTATTTCCCGGGATAGCCTCGGTGACCTGCTTCTTCTTATTACCTCGGGCACTAAGGTTTCGAATCCTGAAGCAACCATATCCACTGCAGCATTCCCTGAAACTGTTCTCAATGCTTTAGCTTCCTGTGCCAGCTGCTGCTTCTTGAATTTGGCATAAACATTTGTAAGGCCATAATCTGGAGCTGCTTTGCTGATGCCGAGGTTTTCCTCAGTTCCTTGCAAAGCAACTTTGCCATTGTTTATATTTTCTGCATTCAGTTTCTGCATTTGAACCATACCATACCATATCCATGTCAAATAATTAGTATAAGCAATCCATGAATAGAGAATTTAAAGCATTATTAGCATCTCCAGAGTTGTTTGGGAGTAGAAAAGCCAACCTGGATATAGAAGGGCATTGGTTCAGTGACCACAGGGGTATCAGTCTCACTTGAAGGATTTCTTCTGAAAGGAGAATCTTCTTTTTTCCTGGAATTGCTGCGGCTAAGGTACAAGGGCTGCTGTTGGAAATTCACCTTTGCTGGGGAGCCCGACCGGGACCGAGCACGAGGAGATGCAGCACCCACATTTCTCTTCACTTGAATCCTTTGAATAGAAGCTGTAGAAATCAGGTCAGCATTCTTATCCATCATAAGAGATGAAACTGTAGCAGGCACAGACACCATCTTTCCTGGTCTAACACTAATTCCATTTGCATCACTAGAAGCCAAATTAGCACAACTGGGAGATTTAATTGGTGATTCAGATCTTCTAACAGGAGATCTACTCACCCTTCTGCTGCCATCACTTCTGTTTTCATAGTCAAAATCCCAACTTTTCTTGGAAATAGAATACTTTCTACTTCTATTATTAGTATTATGAGAAGCTTCACCAGGAAGACCTCTGTTGGGAGATGAGCTTCTGCTAAGCTTCCCACATTGTATCAAAATAGTATCAACTTCATCTTTGGTACAACTTGAAGTCCTCCTCGATGGTGCACAAGATTCAGTAGATCCTTCTTCATGACTTATCCTGTGTTTGATAACAAAGATTTCTCTTCTCACTATCTGTCCATCTACTTTCTTCTTTTCTACCAAGGTTTCTTGATTTTGTTTCACAAGTGCAAGAGGAGGAGAAGAAGAACAAGTGCTCTTCTTACTCAAACAACTCCCCATACTCTTTTTACCCCCAAAAAATAAAGAATGTTTTCAAGAACCACAACTGAAAATGGTGGGTTTGGAAGAAAAAATGGTGAGTTGAAGGGTTTACATGAGTTTGAGAGGGAAAAGAAAGAAGAAAGAGAAGAACAAAAGGGGTGGGGGCTGGGGTTATGTGAGAGCAGCAGGTAATTCCAATTCAATTTTTTTTTGACAGAGGGGGTGGAGACTTATGTACAGGGACGTTGCAGAAAATTATGATGTGAATATGTCCCACCAAAGATACCAATGTCTACCATGATTATTATACTACTTTCCTACCTCGAAAACACATCTAAATTCCAAGTAAATTATTAATTTTATTTTTGAATTATTATTAGTTTTAAAAGTATTTAAATTTTTAATATGTTCACCAACAATTTATTCGATAACTGAATACCAATAAGTCAATAAGCCAATTTTAATTGAGCATAAAATTTTGTAAAAATATTTGATATGTAAGCTAAGTATGTGCCAAGAAATTAGGATTATTCATCATTTAAATATATGATGGTAAAGGTCCCAACAAATCATGTCGCACAATGTGAATACGGTATCAAATTATTTCCAAAAGTTGAAATATGTTGGAACTTTTTATTTATGATATACCAAAAAATAATACTAGTATTCGTTTTTGATGGTCACATCCTTTTATTATCTTCCATTTGAGTTTTGTCCAAATTATTTTGAAGTTTTGACACGGTGCAAGTGAGCATATACTCAGAGTCGGAGCTAGGTGGAGTTTGTAGATTCAAGCGAATCCAGTAACTTTTCCATACCCTATATTTATATTAAAAAGTTAATTAAATATATATGTAATTTAATTTGTGAACTCCTAACAAAATTAATTAATGATTTTAAAGAAAATTTAGAACTTCAAACTCCTAATTATGATTTCGCCTTTGCATATATACAAGTAAACCGGAATCTAGATATATGCAATAATAACAAAACAATATAATGGAGTAACACCAATTTTGCATACATAATGGAAATGGAGTAAACTTTAATACTTGAAAAAAGTACTTGTCACTTTGTCAGTTGTGACCCCTTCCTCACTAGCAAATGATTCCATTTTTACTTCTCTAATATTTGTCTTTGACAGGCCTTAATTAAATGACAATTTAATTATACTATTGAATGGAGTATAATAAATTTAATAATTTAAAATATAATACTTAATTGTTAATAATAAAAGTAAATTAGAAATTAAATAATAAGTTATGGATAAAGAAAAATAAACTGAGGAGGTATTTGTTTAGGAATAAACAGTCACAAGAAAAGGCAAACATAGGAGTGTCTGACTAGTAATTCATCGTTTCTATTCATACGTTATTTTTTAAAATTTTATATCTCTAAAGAAACTAGCTAGGTTTACTACTATATCCTTGTTAAGTGTTTTTTTAAAGTTAAGTTTTCAATAAATGAACATAAGTTAATTTATTTTGATTAATTAAATTGATCAATGAACACAAGTTAATTATTTAATTTTAATTTTCTATTGTTGGTCAAATTCATATTTTCAAATCTAATAACTCTCAAGGATAAAATAGGAAGAATAATATTATTATGTATTGATTTTATGAAATAATAAGTATTACAGATCATCTATTTTTAACAAGGATGACATATAAATAAAAACGAAATATATGAGTAGTAATTGTGGTGTTTGAGGAGGAGTTTGAAAGATGATAAAACAGTTGTTGCGCACTAGAACAATCTTTTAACTTTAGTTACTTTCATTCTTTTGTTATAACTTTAGACTTTAGAAATAGCATGGAGCACAAGGTATTAAAATGTGTGCTGAGTTTCTACCGATTTCTCAACTTCTATAAGATAATTGGCACAATCTATTTTAACACAACTTGCCATATATTTAACTTTTTGAGAGTATTAAGATAACTTCACGTGCTTTTTAAAATAGATAGAATCATACTTTCTTTGTCCAATAATACTTGTTTACGATTGATTTTGCATATTTCTTAAAAAACTATAAATAAAAGGGTGATTTTACTATATTACATTTGAATATAATAAATACAATGTCTTGAAAAATGTATTAGGAAAATGATTATAATTAACAATAAGGGTATATGAAGAATTGAGTGTAAAATTTTCTATTAATTTCATAAAGTGGACAAGTATTATTGGACATCCCAAAATAATATAGTGTACAAATACTGTTGAACGGAGGGAGTATGTATGAATGACCCCCTTACTTTTTTTTTTTTTTTTTTTTTTTTTGCAAAACAACAAAAATATTCCATATATGCCTATCATTGTTTATATCAAAACTAGAAACTAAAACAAATTTTCTTATACACTTAAAAACAAGGATCTGTTTGGAAAGCCACATGATAATTAGATTTGGTGTAATTATCAGCCTAGTAATTACACTGACTTGTTTGTTTGTCTCAGTGTAATTACACATCATGTCCTGTTAGATGCCATAGTGTAATTACACATGTTGGATGCACAATTGCAATCATAAAATTATATTAAATTTAAAAATAAAAAATAATTATTTAAAATGTATACTAGACAAATAAGAAATTTTATAAATGATATTAAATTAAATATTTAAGATATACATTATTTTTTTGAAAATATATTAACTAATAAACATACGTTCTTAACTAATATTATAAAAAAATCATTGATTTATATTTATTCAAATTAATATATTGCAATTGAATTGATCATAAAAATTAAAAGTATGAAGTTTCTACGGACATTGTGAAATACATGTTTGATAAAAAGATTAATATATAAATAAAATGTCATAAATTATTAAAATGTTTGACAAAAAGATAATCTATCAAGTCTAATTAAAAAATGACTTGCAATGTGAATTCAATATTACTAAAACAAATGAAACTAAAAATATAACATAGGTTATAATTTCGAAACATAAAATTTAATATAATACTCTTATCGCAAATTTCAACATAGCATACATAAATATGATTTACTTTTTTTTTTTTTAGAAAAATGTAAGTCTATAACCTTACTTAACAATAAATTCTACTTTAATTTAAAAATTAGAATACTAATAAAATTATGTTAATGAGAAAATAAGCATGTAATAAAGAAATAGATAACACGAAAAAATTACATAGAATCACATGAAGTAAAGTTGAAAATGAGAAGAAAATGATATATAATAATATAAAATAAAAATAAACTTTTAGAAATTTTTAGAATAATAAAAAAAAAGGAAATTAAAATAATAGAAAAAAAAGAGTATGAGCTGGTAATTACACCATGTACATGTGAATTGGGAGAGGCGGAGGTTCGGGAAGAGCTCGATAGGGTCGAGAAAGGGCGTAAACTCCCATAAAAGTGAAGTTTCGTTTTTGGTTGCAACCTGAATTCCCGGGAGAATAAAATTCAAAAAGTTGAGGAACTAGCGACAAACTCCTATGTTCCTTTCATTACGGTATTTCTGAACAAGTTCCTGGATAACAAGTCTAAAGGCTATCTTCTTGATGAGATCGATATTGATGATAGTGACGATATAGATGATAGTGACAATCTTGATGCTAATCATTACCGCAAGGCATAGAGGGGGAGGTCATAAGCGTCTATACCGTAAAAAAATCAATTTTCGACAGAATGAAAAAGACATATATGGTAGAATCGTAACCATAGAATACGATCCTAATCGAAACACATACATTTGTCTCATACACTTATGGGGATGGTGAGAAGAGATATGTAATTACCCCTGTCAAATACACCAATTACCTGCTGATCAATTAATTACCTATCCAACCAACATGACAGAGAGTGTAATTACACCAAATCTAATTACCAGGGTGACTTTCCAAATAGACCCTAATGTGAATTAAAAACTAGAAACTAAAACAAATTCTCTAAGTACTCTTAAAACTAAATATCAATAAATGTTAATGGGATAATGTTTTCAACAAACCTGCTAACATGTCTTGCCAAAATATGATAAGAGGGTTCGATGTTGCAAAAATATATTTTGGACCCTCTGTTTTCTTGTCAATGCATGTTTTCTTCTTCAAGAAAGGCAACATATATTCTTCTTCATCAAATCCAGATCAGAGTAAATTTTGATGTTGAACCGTCGTACACCAAATTAGAGTTTTTAGGTTGGCCAGCTGGGTGTACAATCAACTTTTCCCACAATGAAGTTTGAATTTCGCTCACTCAACTATTTTGTGGAGGTGAAAGAGGAGTTCCAACAAAGGTCTACTACCAGCACCAGGGTTGTTTTAAAAAAATTCTTCTCCATAAGGCATTTTTTTGTAGTCAATAAGATCGCGAAGCAATTTGTATCTTTCTGTGGTCGGATACAAATGTGGAAGATCCCATTTTTGTTTATATCCCAGCGAGAATGACAAGACTTTTATTTTCCCTGTTGTGATGTTATACAAGTAACCTTGAGTATCAACAATCAATTTTGTGAAACATGATGAATACAATGATAGCATAGTGTATGTATTAAGAATGACAAAAGTACAAGGAATTCAAAATAAAAATTGTTTGGCTTACAGGCACGTTAATACGTTTCTTGAAGATAGTTGGAGTCTCTCCTACGAGCAAACGGAAGAATAAATAACAATTCTATTTCAACTAAGCCACAAAACAAGTAGCATTCAAGAATGTTGCTCTTCTATTCTTGAATGGTGATATTATCTTTTGATTAATGTCTCACAAATGCTTTTCAAGATAAAGTAACTTTTTGAGTGCTTATCTTTTCAAACAAAAGAAACTTAATTTATAGGACAAATGTTTTGCAAGAAAAGACTTTAATTAAAATGTATTTATTATAGGTTCATGAATTGAAAAAAAAAATGCACCTTTCAAAGAAATCATGAAGTAGAACTGAATAGCATCTTCCAAAAAATCTATAACATAGAGTTAAAACAAAAATGAATGTTACAATTCACATTCATGTATTTTGTATATTTCAAAACTTTTAACGGATGCATTTGTTTCAATATTAATTGAAACCCTATCTCTTACAATCCCCCACTTATTTTAAGAAATTTTATCTTTGAAAAATTCAAAAAAGTATTTCGAGACATTAATCTAGCAACATGTATCAATAATGGTGTCTTTTGGACTTGAACCATTAGCTAGCGAAGGCTTCCTGAATCATTGACTACTTAATGAATGAATCTTGAACTAAGTGGTTCATGGAATGAAATAGAAAAATACTCCACGCATATCACTATGTTCTAGTGAAAATCAAAATCCTTTGACACCTTACGGTCATGTGTCCTGAATCCTTTTAGCTATTTGCTTTAAGATTTTCCTATTAAAATCTTATTGAAGCGGCCTCCACTTCGCACTTAGTGCGGTGAATTCATCAAGATTAAATTTACATACTCCGATCAAATAGTCTATGAATTTCATTAAGAGAAATTAATCTCATCCTTACAATAAAGTATCGATAAATCTATCAAGAATATTCCTACACACTCCAATCGAAATCGATTTATAGACTTAATAAGAGAATATAATCTCATTCTTTTCTTTAATAGGAATATTGATAAATTTATCAAGAGTTTTCTTACTAACTCCAACATAGATCGATTTTTTAAAGAGAAATTAAAATCTCAATCACGCACATCTACTTGTTTTATTTTGAAAAAATGAGAATTTTATTGACGTGCTTCACAATTATAACTTTAGTTGTTTTCCCCTTTGAATTCAAGATTACTATTCCCACCCCATTACAAGTTTTCACTACTAACTCTTTGCCTAGCCCTTTAGACAAAGATTCTGCTAAATTAAATTTGGACTGCACATATTGAAGCAATATTATGCCTTCCACCAATAATCTCCTCACAAGATTATGTTTGAGATGAACTTGTCTAGACTTACCATTGTAACAATCACTTGAAGCCCAAAATACAACAACTTGATTGTCACAATAGATAGTTAAAGATGGTACTGGCTTACTCCACAAAGAAATATCTATTAGCATAGATCGCAACAAATCAGCTTTTTCTCCCACAAGAGACATATCTATAAATTCTGACTCCATGGTTGAGTGAGTAATACATGTCTACTTCTTTGATTTCCAAGAGATCGCTGCTCCAGCCAAAGTGAAAATTCAAGCAGTAATAGATTTAGAGTCATTCAGATTAGAATTTCAAGTAACATGACTATAGTCTTCAAGAACAACTGAAAAAGTAGAATAATGTAGGTCAACATTAATCGCACCCTTCAAATTAATATCTTAAAACACAAATTAAGGTATTCCAATGTTCAACTCCAAAATTACTAGTAAATTTGCTCAAAATTCCTACTACATAACCAATATTTGGCCTGGTACAAAGCATGACATACATAAGAATTCCAACTATTAGAAAATATGTCAGTTGATCAAGAACATCAGTAGAGTTTCACATTAGTTTGATGCTAGGATCAAATGGTGTATGAGCAGATTTGTCGTCAAAGTGACCAAACCTCTTTAGTACTTTTTCAATATAACTTGATTGAGTAAGAGTCAAGCCATTCATTGTTCTTATGATTTTAATATTCAAAATTACATCAACTTCTCCAAGATCTTTCATTTCAAATTGAGAAGCTAGAAAATTTTTTGTTTTTTAATTCTTTCCGTATCCGTTCCAAAGATCAACATATCATCTACATAAAGACATATTATAACATCATAATTATTTTAAAATTTGCTAAATATGCAAATATCACCACCATTTATTGAGTAGCCATTAGAAATTACTACTCTTCTAAATTTCATATTTCATTGTTTTGAAGCTTATTTTAATCCATAAAGATATTTAAGAAGCTTACAAACTTTGTGTTCTTGCTCATGAACGATAAATTTTTCTAATTGTTTCATGTAAACTTCTTCATCTAGATCTCCATTAAAAAATGCAGTCTTCACATTTATTTGATGAATTGCCAGATTATGTATCAGCAATCAACATTTATTTATTCAATGAAATATAGCTAAAATTTAAGGATATATACATTCAATAGCAGTACGTATATGTATCAATCATTAGTCTATTTTTTATGCATACATTCAAAAATATATTAACTAAAAATACATATACGATGTACTCAATAAGTTTGTATGTATTGATGCAAATAAATTTAAGCGAACATATATCATGTATCAAATGAAATTGAGTATACATATACAATGAAATTGAGCGAACAAATAGAATAAATTTGAGTGATAGATACAATTTCAAAAAAATAACTAACTACTCCCTTCCTCCACTTTTATTTGTTATGTTACATTTTTTAAAAGTCAATTTGACTAGAGTCTGTTTGGATTGACTTAAAAAAATAGTTTTTAAGTCAAAAATAAAAGCTAAACTTAAATGAATCTTAAATAAAAAATAAAAAAAAAGTAGGGACACATACCTTTTGATTTTTAACTTATTTTAAGTCATTGTAAACTTATTTTAAGTTATTTTTATATTTGTCAAACACTTTTAAAAGTAAAAAAAAAAGTCAATTTGACTAGAGTTTGTTTGGATTGGCTAAAACTTTTTATTTTTAAGTAAAAAAAAAAGTCAAACTTAAATGAATTTTAAATTAAAAAAAAAAATAGGGACACATACCTTTTGATTTTTAACTTATTTTAAATCATTTTAAACTTATTTTAAGTTATTTTTATATTTGTCAAACACTTTCAAAAGTCAAAAACTAACTTAAAAGTAGGTTTGACTAACTTTTAAGCCAATCTAAACACCCTCTAATTTTTAAAGTTAAATTAGATTACATTAATTCGATATTTTAAACAAAAAATTTAGATATTCAAAAATTATACGGAAAGTATTATAAATTGTAATATTTTTGCGTATCAATATGATGAAAAAGTACATTGTAAAATGTTAGTCAATGTTTTTATAGTTTGACTCTAACAAAAAGAAAGCTTAATAATTAAAAGTGGACGGAAAAAGTATAAAATCGTACTCCCTCCGTCCATTTTTAACTGTCATGGTTTTTTTTTAGAGTCAAGCGATAAGAACTTTTCGTATAGTTTTTAGTCAATTCATAGTACTTTTCGTCTAGTGTTTGAATAGCTAATTTTTTTTTGTTTAAAATATCGAATTAATGTAATCTAATTTAATTTTGAAAATTAATAAAAAAAAAAGCACTAACAACTAAAAATAGAAAAAAAAGAGTAATTAAATAAACTACCGTTACTAAACTATACTCCTTTCGTCCCATTTTATATGTCACCTTTTTACATTGCACTTGCATTAAGAAATTATGTAACTTTACCCTTCTACCCTTATTTAATGTTTTCTTAAGTCAACTTTATTAATAAATGACAAGATTAATAATAGGCAAAATATAGAAATTTATGCATAAATTTTATAAAATGATAAATATTGTGGTTCAGCTATTTATAAAAAGAGATGAGATATAAAATGGAACCGAGGAAGTAGTTATTTATGAAATTTCAACACATAAATAATGATGGATGAATGGACAAGAAAAGTCCAAAGAGTAGAAATCCTTTGGTTTTTAGTAGGGCTGGGCATTCGGTATTTCGGTTCGGTTTCAATTTTTTTTTTTGGTTTTTTTGGTTTTTGGTTCTTGTACAACATGTACCGAACACCAAACCGAAATAATTTGATTCGGTTCGGTTTTTATTATTTCGGTTCGGTTTTTGTTAGTTTGGTTTTCTCACAAACTAACTAGCAACAAAAGCAAAAATCAGAAAGAAAAATAAATGGAAGAAAAAATATTCATTTTGAAACTTGTTAATTTAAAATAGAAGAAGAAATATTGACAACAAAAAAATAATGGTGGTCGCCGGAGCCTGGCTATGTGGAAACTGGAAAGGTCGGCTGATCGCTGCTGTGCTGTGTGCTGCTGCCTACTGGTCGCCAGAAGTGGGAACGCCGATTCACTGTAGATATGGGAAGTGGAACGTGGGTCTGTATTTTGTAAAGTGCAAAATGGAAAAGTAAGAAGTTTGAATTTGATCTACTTTTGTTTTTAATTTTAATTATAATATTTATTATTTAATATTAATAATTAATATAATATTAATATATATTATAATATAATATATTTCGGTAAACAGAAATACCGAATAATACAAAAATTATATATCGAAAATCGAACCGAAATACCAAAAAATATAAAAACATACCCCGAATATCGAACCGAAAATCGAAATACCGAAATACCAAAATAATTTGGTTCGATTCGGCTTTTCGGTTTTTCGATGTTTATGCCCAACCTTTGTTTTTAGCTTTAGAGGCCTTCCGACATACGTCAGGCTCTTTAATTTACTATTGTTTTCTGCCTCAATTCTCCACTTCTTCCAAACTCTCTCTTTAGCTTACAACTCAATACCTCTGTAAATTGGGATTTCTTCATTTTTCACCTTCAGCATTTGATCATGGCGGAAACCGCTCACAATAATCTCAATGCTAAACTCGTAAGTCTGATTCATGCATGCATCAATTCCTCTGTGTAACATCCTTCGTTGCTTCTGTAAACTGTTTATTGATTAATTCAATTGTTTGTTCAGGTGTTGTTGGGGGACATGGGAGCTGGTAAATCAAGCTTGGTTATACGATTCGTCAAGGGACAATTCCTTGAATTCCAAGTATTTGTCTTTCTCTACGAGTTGCTTTTTAGGGTTGTTTTCCCCAATTCTCAACTTCATGTAATTTTGTTGATTTGTGTGATTATCACGTGATGTTGGTGATAACAGGAATCGACGATCGGAGCGGCTTTCTTTTCGTCTACGGTTTCAGTTAATAATTCTACGGTGAAGTTTGAGATCTGGGATACTGCTGGTCAGGAGAGGTACCATAGCTTAGCGCCTATGTACTACAGAGGTGCTGCAGCTGCTATCATCGTCTATGACATCACCAGCACTGTGAGATTCTTTCCATCAACAACTAAATTTCAATCCCCAACTAGCGAGCTTAAAGGTTTTTATAGCCGAAATGAACTCTCACATCTAATAGCTTAGTCTTCTGGACTGGGCCTTCCTATTCAGTCTATTACAGAATAACAATCAAATGGGTCTTATGAAGGCAATAGTTGGCTTTTTGCCAGTTCGTCAGTATATTGGTATTGCAATGTGGAAACGAATAATAGATTAATAGGGAATATATGCAACTTTTATCTTATGCATTGACAAAGTTGCAAAGACATGTTTATGCTTGTTTTTCGTTTACTTGTGCTCATTTTGCATTTAAAGGACAATTTTTGGCCATGGAGAGCAGCTGGTCGTAAGTGGATGAGAATACTAATTGATTTGTCATTCATGTTGAATTAGGACTTCAGGCAGAATATTAGGTCATGTTTGCTGTTGCTTTCCCTTTGACGTTTCTGCTTTTTCACAATTAACATTATCATCAGAGGGTTGGAGCTAGAAATTTTAATCTAAGGGGGACAATTATTAAGTCTTAAAGGATTTAAGTGAATGTTTTTCTCTTAGGAATGACCATTTCACTATAAATTTTAAAAAGTTATTTCAAACTTGAAGGGTTAAAAGTTCCCTTTCCTGGATTTACCTGGTAAGGGTGGCGCTTGTAAGTCAATGTTGACAATTTCAATGTGTGGATCACACCTTTGACATCCTATATGAACTCCCAGATCCATGAAGGACATGGACATCTGTAACCGGGTGTAGCTAAGCAAAGAGTGGAAAGAAGGAATCACAAAATCAACGCATTCATTCTGAACTTACTAGTGTGATGATATCTTCATCTAAGGAAAGAAGAATAAAAAGACAACTTTCCAAAAGTTCATTTGTTATGGCCAATACCAGAGACGGAGCCAAGATTCGGACCTTATGGTTTCTAGATTCTCGACTTCAAATACTAGTAACTGGGTTCTGAATTTAGTTTTTGTACATATTTGATAAATCTTTTAAGCATAAATACTGGATTTAGACTAAAATTACTAGGTTTTGCTGTATCACATGTTACATGCTACCTTTGCCCCTGGCCAATATTGGGAATGAGCGGCATATCCCATGTTTATGCAACTCTTTGTTGTGCATGTGTAATTGTGTATGCCTATATCTATGCATATCAATTTCGATGCCATCTTCATTCTAGGCGTAATCTTCTGTTTCCTTCTTAATATAGGATTCATTTGTACGGGCAAAGAAATGGGTGCAAGAATTGCAGAAGCAAGGTGCTTATCTGTGAACTTTTCTGCTTTATTCAAATAGAAAATTTAGAATATTCTTCTTTCATCAGTTTATTGCATAAAATCCAGCGCTCTACTAACATCTTTTTTAATCTTTTTCCTTATGTTGTATTGTATTTTATTACTTTATTGCCTTAAGGACTCATATAAGGTTATTGATGGTATCATAACTTCATATTCATAGATTTTTAGGTGAAGTGATTTAGTTTTCTGATAATTGGGTAGGTAATCCCAATATGGTCATGGCTCTTACTGGCAACAAGGCTGATCTAGAAGATAAGAGGAAGGTGACTGCAGAGGTAAGCTCTTTATGTATTGCCTGTCATCTTTTTATTCGAGGTTCCTTTGATTGGGCTTTGCCATCCATCTATTTTGAAACACAACTCTTGTAATGCACCCTTCAACATATTGTGTTTGGTCTCAGCTTTATTATATAGTTTTTGGGACAGTTATGAAATATAAATTGGATAATGATCTGAGATGCAGCAACACGTTACTTGCCTCTAGATAACCAGTTCAGATAATGATGTAAAATGGAAATACTCATTTTTGTGGAAGTTAACTTCCACGAACTGGTATCCAGAGCTGAAGTAGAAGTATGCTGGCTTTCCTTTTCTTTCTTTTTTTTGTTGGGAAAATGCTATTCCATAATTGAGTTTCTTGCGATTATAAGATTGGTTGTTGGAACTTATGGGCTAAGGCATTTGTTATTAATAACTCTATCTACTGGTTTTATCATTTTCTACAATATACCTATACTTGGGCAGTTTTCTTTCTTGATTGTTTTGGGGCATCAATTTTCCTGGTATATAGTATTTTAAATATTGCTTTCACAGGAAGCACGCTTGTACGCAGAGGAAAATGGCCTATTTTTCATGGAAACCTCTGCCAAAACTGCTGCTAATGTCAACGATATATTTTACAAAATCGGTAAGTTCCATTGTTTTGTTGTTTTGTATGTGTCATTTATTGCTCTCTTTCTTTCTCATCTTTTTTTTTTCCAAAGGTATATGACATTGTAGGTGATATAATAATCTATCACCGAAGCTTTTGAGTGTCTGTAATTGAAATGTATGAGGACAGTCTTGTGTTATAGGTTCCCGTTGTTGCTATCGTTGTGCTATGCAATATTCTTTCTGGGCATGGTTTTCAAGACATTGTCTGGACAACAATATGCACTCTATCTTAAAATATTTGAAAAATTGTGGCATTTGCTTATATTAAGATGCTATGCCTGTTACTGTAGCCAGTAGGTCACTCGGCTTGCGGGTCTTCGCTTTTCACTCCACCGGTCAGTAGTTGCCCTGCTGATTAGGCCTTGACTAGTTGTAGTAGTTGATAATAAGCAAGGGTAGTGTTCTTTCCTTTCCTTATTTTTTTTGGGCAAGACTTTTGGATGTTTTAGTATAGCAACAATCACCATCAAATTTAGCACATGAGACAAATGTCGTTATCAAATGGTTACAAGGACTAGCTGCTTGAGGAATACAGGACTTCAAGAACAAGATGGTTCCAAAGAATAGTTTGAAAGCCTGAATATTTAGGAACTTCTGGTGCCATTTGCTTTTCAAACCCTTAGCTTGCTGTATGGTAACCCTTTGTAGTGCAACCCAACCATATTATAGTTCTGTTCTGACTTCTTTTTAATCACATCTGGATTCCAACTGATCCTGGAGTGAATGTGAGGCTTGTCCTGGAATACAGAAAGTGGCGAGTTGAACGGTAACTTTTAACATTCCTATCAGGCATCTTCGTTGATGCATACTTGAATTAATTCCAGCTGATGTAAACTGTAATATGCAAATTCTGTAACAGATTTCATGTTACATGAATCGCAAGATTATGCACATTCCTACTTGTCAGTTACAAACTCATGCTCTTGTCACATGAAGAAAACTATATGATTTTACTAAAATGGAGTCTCGAAGAGTTGATGCTTGCTTTATGGTTACCTTCGATTTACATGCTAGGTGCTATGCTAGGGGTGGGTAGAGTTGTAAAAATTTACCTTCCTTCAACTATTGAAATTCGGAAGTCAACTTTACGAAGCAATTTATAATTTTTAGTTTCTATGTATCAGCATAGGTAATAACAGGAAAATTTATATTTCTTTAATCAGCTTTGCCTAATTAATAAGAAATAGTACTAAAGATGATGTCACCTTGCATGCAAGATAATAGACTGTTGTTGGAATACTAATTATTACCAAATTCTCTATGTTGACAAATAATATCTGTTAGAACTCCTAATTATTAACATACAAGTAACATTATTATATTATTATTAAGTTCTTTAACAGGATTTTCATTCCAAAGTACCCCACTATATTCCTTTTCTTGTTCAGGAATTGCTGTTATAGAAATCTGGACGCGAGAATAAACCTAGTACTGGGCAATCTTAATTTATGTCCACTTTTAGTATGAAAAACATGTATATAATCTCTTAAAGAGACTACTAGTATACAAATACATGTAAACATTTTTTTGTTAGTTTATAAAGAGAAGTATTGAAAACAACCCTAAACTCTGCGTGAATTATTAGTTTCATCTCCAAATTATTGACAGCCTTAAAAATACCCTTTTACTTGACTAATTGAACTTGAATACACCCCGATCTTGCACCATGAGTGAAATACACCTCAAATTTTTGTCAAGTTTAGGGGTGTTTTTAACCCTTCTCTCGGCTTTCAATTCAGAGCTCTATGCTTCTACAAGAGTTTCAGACCGCTTGCTATGTCATGTTGATGTGGCAGATCGAGGTGGTATCTAAGTTTAGTTAGTCAAGTACAAGGGTGTTTTTTTAAGGGTGTCAATAGTTTGGGAACGAAACTAATAATTTGCTCCAAGTTCAGAGGTGTTTTCAATACTTATCTCTAATCTATATATAAAATCAACAATTTGATCACTGTTTATATTGTTGAATTCATGCTCTCTTGGAAATGGAAATTCCTTCACTGAGTATAGTGCTTACTGCCTTATGATTTGGTTCCTTTTGTTTTACTTTAGTGGTCTGGTTTTACCTTCCAAAGGAAGAGGAATCTTTTTTTGGTTGAGTTAGGGGAGCGGGGAAGCTTGGAGTAAGGATGTTGTTATACATGGTGATACGAGCAAGGATGTATGCTTGTGGTTGTGGTAATCAGAGATGTTGATATAAACATAAAGTGAGCGTCCTGGTGATGACTTGAGTAGGTATAACCAGTGATTACCTGTCACAAGGATCATACACCAGTGCTGCGGGAGGGGATTTGGTCCTCCAGTAACCTTTTGATTGGGAGGGGTTTAAATTGGAGCAGATTGGGCTGCTTTACTGAGGAAAGTTGGTGAGTATTGACAAAGTTATGGATCATGTTGAATTAAAGGATTTCTGTGGAATAGCTTTGTGGGTCTTCCATGACAGTGCTAATAGGTCTCCAGCTTTTCGTATTCAAAGAGGGGTTAGTCGTCAGATTTTGAAGTAATATAGGTGAAGTGGTACAGATAAGAGAAATTACGCTTCTGCATTATATATTTATGCTATACATGGATATCCGAAATTGATGTTTCGGTTTACTTATTTTTAGACCTGCCCTGTTAGGATGTCTTTCACCTCTTTTATTGCGTCTCAGAGCAGTTGAATGTCTCTGTTATTTACCTGCTTCCCTGATTTTGTGGGTGTGAATTCTGCAGCTAAACGATTGCCTAGAGGTCAGCCTGCTCAAAATCCGGCAGGAATGGTACTTGTTGACAGAACAGCAGAAGGATCACAAACTGCATCATGCTGCAGTTAAGTATTATCATCTCGATCGCTCCATTGATTTCGTGAACTGGAGACATTTCTTGCTCTTCATGTTGTGCTGGTATGGGAGTTGAAGACAGGAAATTGGAAGTCATGTTTATTGGGAGATACACAGTAGAATATGTATGTAAACTGTATTTAAAAGCGCCATATCTGAGGTGATTGTATCTTTTGTTCATTCAAGTTGTAAATAGTTTGAATTTCCCCCCTACCAATTTATTCTTGATAATTGGACGCTGTTACTCCCCAAAAATTGGTTTAGGTGAATAAGATTTGCCCAATTTAGTTGGAGCATAAGAATTTCAAATGTTTATTATGGATATCAGCTTGCAATAGAAATGAATCGCTTGATAAGAGACTTATGAAGAAATAGAAAAAGAAAAAGGACAAACATTAGTTTAGGATATATTTTCATTTTATTGTAAAAGAAAATTCTTGTTTTACAACTCAATCGTGTATTTTAGAGATTAAAAGAAATAGAAAACAAGAAGAGAGGTTATTTGAGTATTTACTTCGAGGGACAACTACATAAATGAGTTATAAAATCTAAAATAATTACAAGTTTATATTCAAATTCAAAGTAGTTCTTGAAATACTCATTCTCTCATAAATAATTACAGCTTATAACTCCGTTTATTAAGGTTGATAATTTTTGCTTAATTGATACTAAATCAGTATCATATACTGTATTGGTATCATTAACGCTAATAATTTCGCTAAACTGATACTAAATCAGTATATATTTACTGTAATGGTATCATTAATGTTTCTTGTTCAGAAATTACTCATTAGTCAATGATATTTCAGAAATTACTCATTAGACAATATATCTTAAGTATTTAAATTGATAAACATTTATAAAGTTGTTTATTTGTCTAACATAAAATAATTACGTAACTTTTACTTTTAAAATTTAATATGATCTTATGATTGTAATTGTACATCTAAACAATATAGGTATAAATTACATTGTGCCAAACAAATATGTCAAGTATAATTACTATCCTAATAATTACATTAATTTTAACAACCAAACAATGTATTAAAATAATACATAAATAACTTTTATACACCATTTGAAAACCTATCAACCAAACATCGTATAAAATTAATTCATGAATAACTTTTATTCTATTTGCAAACCAACCATGGTATAAAATTAATACATGAATAAGCAAATTATCTATGTATTAGCTTTGGCCTTATCCAACTGCCGGTTAGAGACTACTTAATTCCTACTTGTATGTTAAGTCTCCAAGGGCGCTCAAAGAAGTTGTGTTAAAGCTTAATCTTTTTTGTGGAAGGAAGGTGTATGAGGATATTTGGGAAGCACATATTTCCAAGACAAATTGTACTATTTGCTTCTGGGTATGTTATACACTTGTTGCTCTTTTGATCATATGTCAAACTATGTATCATATTCATTTTTTTTTTGTGTTTGTTTTTGTGGAGAATAGGATGTTGTTTTTGGGTTCAACAACTTATGATGTGCATAGATCCATAAAGAACAACCAAACACCACCTTCAAAGGAGCAAATCCAAGCATTTGAAGATTATCTCAACTCTGTTCGCCGCCCTTCTTAGGCATGTTTCTATTTTCGGTGCACAATATGCCACGTATTCCTCTTATCTATTTTTCATTAGTTGAAGGACTTCCTCTCTCAATAATTTTGTAACTATTAAACTAATATTGTGTACCTAATAATTTATGAAAACACATGTTGTAATTTACCTTTGTTGTTGCTATGGTATGAGATTTTAAAAAATAAAGTCGGTCATAAAGTAATATTTGAAGTTGTCTTGGATTTTCAAAAGATATCTAAAGTTTACGAACATCTTATTACTTCAATGAAACCATTACAAATCACAATAAATAAACATTTTTGATTTATTTTCACAATAAAAGTGTTCTCACGTTTGATAGGCGCGTGGAGGAACCCAAACCACTATACAAATTTCACATGACATTGTCAAATTGAGTTTTCTTCTTTATTAAAAGACTCACTTTCATCTTCCCCAAAACCTCCATTGATAGATGTTGAAGAGTTTTCCATCTACAACAACAAAAAAAGAATTCTCCATCATCAACAAAATTTTCATCAAGCTTTACTAGCTTCAATTTCTTTTTTTTTTCTTAATTTTTATTTAAAAGTTATGAAATCAACTAATTTGCAAATTCCGAAAGTGCAATTGCAAATAAATTTCAAAAATTTAAATAAGTGAAAAAACATTCAAAGTGAAATTAATCCTAAACTAACTCTATATACACACAAATAAAGATAACACAAGAAGAAAATAACAACAAATCACTACAAATATGATTTTTAAAAAACACTACTATAAAAAGAATATTTTTTTAACTAAAATTTACATTCAAATGAAGAAGCAATTAACATGCGAGCCTTCACTTCTTCGTTTTGATTCCATAATTCAAGAAATTATCAGCGCAAAGCAAATTTATTTGACTATTTGAATGTTTTAAGGTTTTGATCATCAAAAAGAGAGTAAAGTGAATCTAAAAGGAGTTTAGGGTTTGATGGAGCGGGTACTAAATGAGTTGAAAAAAATAAGTAATTATATTATTAATTGGGGGTTGAGATCCACGCGCATGCATTGAAAATATAGATTGTGCAAAAAATGTGCATTTATTGTTATTTGAAATGTTTCATGGGGTAATAGAACGCCTGTAAAGTTAAAATCAGGGGTGTGCAAAAACCAATTTAACCAATAAACCGAACCGAAAAAAACACTATTGGTTTATTGATATTGGGTTTTTGGGCTAACGGGTTTTAAACAGTTTTGCAAATTTTTTTATTAGGTTATTGGTTCGGTTTTCGGTTTTATGATTTTTGTTAATGGTTAGACCGATAACCCAATAAGAGTATACTAAATTTACCAGTCTTATTGTTAATGGTTAAACGATTGTTACTTCCACCTTTTTGTTAGTGGTTAAACGATTGTTACTTTCACAATTTTTCCTTTGAATGTGTCTAGTGTCTAAACTTGCAAGAAAAATGATTGTTATTTTTATGATTATTACTTTCATGCCAAATGCTGGAAAAATCATATGGTTTATATGAAAATTTTCTTATTGTGTATATAATATATATGAGTATTTTCTTATTGGTTAAACCGAAAACCGAATCGTTAAGTACCATAAATCGATTAACCAAAAATCGATGAGAAATATGTTATTGATTTGGTTATCGGTTTGACGTATTTACAAACCAAAAACCGATAAATCGAACCAATAACACATAAAACCGAACCGAACCGACCGATGCGCGCCCCTAGTTAAAATGTCTTTTTAAAAATCTAGAACATCTTCAGGTGCCACTTTATATCTTTTCTCAAAATATAATAGTGTTTTACATTTTTAAGAAAAGAAAATAGCTTACTTGTAGAGTGTATTATAACTCAATTAAATAAGTATAACTTACATAAATTCCATAGTGTAAGGAGTAAATTACAGTCTATTCCTATTTTTTTTTTTAATTACAATAATTCCTTAATTTTTACACAATTCAGATACATAACTCACAAATGAATACATTAATGCTGATACATTATGTATCAAGTTGTCACACTGAAAAAGGAAAATAATCAGAAAATTCAATTAAAATTCCATAAATTACGCTTGCACGTTTTTTCTTACTGTAAATCAGTCATACACAAATCTTAACAGAACTAACAATTCGAAAAAATCAAATTTCTTCTCCCTATTCATCTTTCTCCATGTTCATCCAAGATCCATTCAAATTAGATTCAAATTTGCCAAAAAGTTGATAAGATAAATAATGAATAGTTGTTGGACAAACAAGTTCTTTTATGAGTCTCAAATCTTGAATTGCAGGAGATCATGAGATGAGAAAAACTTGAAAATTCAATGTATAGTAGAAGAAAATCACGGGGAAATGTTATTGACAATGTGATTCAATCTTGGGTAAATTGTAACAGGATAACACAATTCAAAGTTCAAAATTCTTCTTCCCATTCTTCCAAAAACTCTTAATTTTGAATCAAAATTGTCAATAAAAATTCGAGATACATTACAGATTAATACAACATTCTTCTTCCTATTCTTCCAAAAAAAAATTCTCAATTATCGACAATATTCTTCTTTCCATTCTTCCAAAAAACTCTCAATTTTTGAATCAAAATTTTGAGATACATTGGAGATCTGATACATCGTTGAGGTGAAGAAACAAGAGCCTGGATTTTCAATGTTTTCGGTATGCATTATTACAAAAAACAAAAAGTCTGAAGAGATACATAGCTGTCACGACCCGGACCGTCGTGATTGGCACCCACACTAACTCTCCGGTGGGAGAACCACTACTACAACCCAAACCAAGCAACTAAACCCAAAACTAAGGCATTTAAGTATATGAAAGCAGAAATAATAGCTAAAAAACTGAAGTTCCCATAAACTTCAACAAAAGATCTAACAACGCAGAAGAATTAACCTAGAACCTGAAAGTCAATGTACAAAAATATCTAACAATGATCCAAGTCTAAACAAGAAGGGATACAACCCCATACTAATGAACTAACTAAAACAAATGTCTAAGTCCGGAAATGGTGGACATAGACGAAAGAGAATTCCATGGCAGCCTGGAAGAACTGGCTCACCCTTGAATTCGAAGTGACGATCACTGATCTCCTAAGCGAGGTCTATCAGTAGCTGCTTGAAAATGCCATGTACTTAACAAAAATAAGAGCAAGTGCAGTATCAGTACACAACCACAGTGTACTGGTAGGATCACACGACTATCCCACTAAGTGCAAAATACATAAGTCATCACAACAATATAATCACATGCATATAACGAACATATACAATATCATCAACATATACGAACAATGAACAACTTCACATTTCTCAAGATACACAATTATATCAAATCATTGGTCCTCTCATGGAACCCAAACCCAAACAGTTAGCATGCCGAAACGTGGCAATCGATCCCATATTTATGTCGGAACGTGGCAACCGATCCCATTTTTATGCCGGAAAGTGGCAACTGATCCAAGTTAGTTATGTCGGAACGTGGCAACCGATCCCATTCACACACCACAATCACAATCACAAGTATATCATCAAGATCATACATTTAAGTCATGATTTCATGGCATTCATCAATTCTCTATCTCATTTACAACAAGTGTGATCAACATTGCAACATTCATACATATACAAGTATCATAA